GGTATTTCCGTACCCCACATTTCCCTCTGCTGCTTAATCTCGGTGTCTTCAACGCTTAACGCAATGGTCCTCGCCGCTGGGTCAAGGGCAACGTGAAAGTATGGGTCGATCTCGAGGTCTAGTTTTCCTGCGTTTTGTGTATCAGAACAAATGCTTCTCACACCGTCTCCTCAGTGCCGCCTCCCAGTGAGCTAGCCCAGCTCAGCTGGAGTCGAACTCCGGACCACTTACCCAACGGGCCCACCACCGTCACCGTCCTCTTGGCGATCTTGAGGTATGTTGTTGCATCCTTCTTGACCTTAGGCTCGCCAATTATAATATCTACGCCGGGAGGGATAGAGATAGGCGTTCTGCCCAGCTTCGACGGGCGGACGGTGGTTGCGGAAAAGTGCCGTGCTGGGGTCGAGGTCTGGAACGCGGGTATGAGGAAGCTCGGGAGCGAGACGATGGAGGCCGGGGAAAAGGGCGATGAGGAGAGCGCTCGCTCGAGGAGCCTCCCTCTGGTAGGCGCGAGCATTTTGGTGGTGGTGGGAAATGCAATTGGCGACGCGCCCTCTCCGGATTGCTTTGACAGACTTGGATGGCTTCGGAAAAGATCAGGTCGGGAAAGCATCGGCTGATTGGGACCCCTGCCCAAGCTATGGCCTATGCAGGACCAGTGCTGTGTTGCTGAGTCAGCTAGCCCCTTTTTGTGTCTGGGGACATTCACTCCATCAAACTACAAGCAACTCAGGTAACACCCAAAGCCTTGTACGGAGTAAACAGTGAAATAATCAGCCCCAGTGCTGCAAATTTTCTTTGACTAGACCTTGCAGGTTGCTTTCTCATAGTCCACCTCGAGACGACTAAATCTTGCAGTGATGCAGTGTCTTCATCTTCAGGTCCGGTTGCACCAAGACTGTTCACCAAAATAGTATCAACAACCTGAATGATACAAATCTGCTTAAACTTGGTGGCTTACTAGTGTAGGCTTACCAGTGTAGATGACCTTGCAATGTCACATTACTGGTAACAGGGAACTCTGTTCAAGAGAGATGGATGTGCATGCAGCGTCGGACTGGGCCTTGGCGGCTGCAAACCGAATATCAGTTCCTGTCCACCTCGATGGCCTCACCTTCCACTCCGCCGAGAAGCTCGGAGGGGTGAAGGGCCCCGGTCTTCCTTGGCCCCGGATTTTGTTTCGTGATCTGCTATTGTGAAGGCTTTTTCTTATTCGAGCGGGTCATGCTCATGCCATATTTATTTCCAGAGGTTGCTCCTTCCCTTATCCTTCTCGCAACACCTTTTCTCGCAAACCCGCGAAACCAAGCCACCAACAGCACCAATATCTTTCTAGGTCTCCTCGCTCCTCCACTACTTATTGCCATCACTCTGCAGGTTTTTTTTTTTTTTTTTACACCAGGCTCTGCCTTGCTTCAGCTTGCCATGGCAGTCAAAATGATGCAAGCCATGCTGTTGGCCTTGGTCGCCTTCTTGCTGCCCTGCGCCGAAGCTTTTTCGTGGAGAGCCGATAGAAGAATTGCAATCGGTAAGTCAGGTAGAGGGCCGAGATAGCATCGCTCGCAGCCCCAGCTAACTCACACCTTAAGTCAACGGCAAGTCCTCGGATCTTCTCCAGCAGCCTTCCCATACCTCAAGCATCTACGACGTCGCGCTCAACGAGCTCCAACAGCTCGAGTCTGAGCCTCTCTGTCACCGCATCGCCGCCCGGCTTTTGGTCAACAACTGCCAGCTTGTGGATGGAAAAAATGAAGCAAGCATTCTCATGGACAGCGGCCGCCTGATCAGCGACTTCGTCGACACCTACGCCGCCAGTCTAGCAATCTGCGACCTGGAGCGAGGCAGCTTCCAGATACCCGCCGAATGCACCAAGTTCAGGGAGCCTGCGTTGAGCCAGATCGCTATTACAGATGCGCCCCAACTCCACGTCGCCCACAAAGAGATCAAGCTCTGCCTCGGCGCGCTGGGCACGTCTGATTCCGCTTGGGGCACATGGATAAGCTATCGCCACAAGACGTTGCGTTTCTGCGAGGCCGCCCGCGTCGATAACCAGAAAGGTATGCTCCGTTTTTAGACTCGAGTGTGACTTGAGCTGACGATACCATAGACCAAAACATTCTGCTCTATCAGAGGCTCACCAAAGTGATTTCCAAGCTTATGACCGGTGTGGAGGCCGAGCTGCAGAAGAAAATGGATGATCTTGACGAGCGAGCTCGGCAGACATTCGACAACCTCGCGCAACTATTGCTACAGGTTGACCAGCTGAGAGATGGACTGGAGAGGGTCGAGACCTACCTCTCGGGAGACCTTGAGAACACACTGAGAAGATCATCCGAATCAGCGCAGGACAACCTTCAGCAAGCAGAGGTCCTCCAGCAATTCCTCATTGCCGTGTTTGCCAGATTTCACGAGAGCAACACCCAGCTGGTTTCCGTGCATGAGCAGTCGCTCCAGCATATTGCCAAGAGGACCAACGATGACATCGGTGCCTTGGCGGCAATCATTGCCACGGCTGTGACCTCGACCAACGCCCTGCAGCAGCAAATCGTAAGTGCTCTATTCCTTCCACGCCCACCCACTCCTTATGGAAAAACTTACTAACATCTCTGGGATAGGAGCGTTCCAACCAAAATGCCGAGCTGTTGGCCAAACGACAAGACACACTGGAGCAAAACATGGACCGACTGATTGCTACCACCGAAAAGCTATCCACCAACCACGAACACCACACGTTGATGCTGACGCAAGCTGCCAACATGACGAGCGAGCTTCTCGACACTCTAGAAGAGACATCGTCAAAAGCACAGTCATTGAATCGTTCTCTTATCGTGGATGCCATGTCAGGCAGCTGGTGGCCCTACGTCCTCTGCCCCGCAGGCTTTCTCATTCTCGGCTCATATGGACTCCCGCCCTCTGCCGGCCGAAATATCGGCTTGTTAGCGACTGGTGAGGTCATTGGCTTCCTGGTTTCGGTCTTCAACAATATGAGCGATGTCTCGTTCCCGGCTCTTGAAGCATTAATAAACACAACCACCGTGAACACGACTGTGTCTTCGCTCTGAAGCAGCTGGCATTGGCGTTCTAGGCGCGATTTCCTTGTTATTTTTAGGGCCAAGTGGCATACATACACATGTGGGGCGATTTTGGTAAGATCTGGTATGATCTCGCCTGGGAGGAAACCGAAACACGATACGGTATGCAACTCATTACCATAGCAAACTCAAGCGAAGCTATCTCGCTTGCTAGTCAGCACAATAGATATCAACCTGATCCCTACTGCTTTTGTGACTATGGTGATTTCTTCCTCGTGTCCTGAGCTAGGCCCAAGAGCAAAATGAAGAGAGAGAAAAGAGATGAAGGCCGGTCAGACTTCCATCGATACCCACCCTGCACGAGCGCCCGAAGGCAAGACCTCGAAAACAGGGTACAGATCATCGCCCACTCTCTATACAGCCGCAGTCCGAAGACCAGCGGCCGCCACCTTTGCAGGCAGAGCGAGAGCAAAAAGGTCCTCACTGTAGGGTATCGAGGATATGAATCATCAACCCGGGTGGGATTTGTGGCTCCTTTAGGGAACACAAAAGAGGACGACTACTATAGAAATGATTCTCCTGTTGGTTGGGTGTGGTTAGCATCGCTATACTAGTGAAAGTTGTTGAGGCTGGTAGTAGAGGGTGGCTTACTGAAGTATTGTCGACATGAAGAAAAAAAGAAAAAGAAGAGGAAATGGCAGGGCGCGGCGAGGAATATATACTGTATCGCATCGGTCCGTGCGCGACTGCAAATTTCTGATGCACCAAAGACCCATATGTGCATGGCTTCACAGGCTGAGAAGTGCTTTGCAAGACAGGGGCGTGCAAAAGTGCCGGCATAGTTCTCTCCTGTGGAGGTCTCAGACACAGTTGATCTTGGGAGCCTTTGCTTTACTGCTTTCCAAACGTGAGCAGGTCGTCAAGAGGTGATGCTTTTTGCAGTGTTCTTTCCACTGAGCCACCAGGGTGTCTACAATATCTCTCCAAACCCCATTTCCCAATTCCATATTTCCTATTTCCCATTGCCCTCCTCTGCACTGAAAGGGAAACTCGTAAAAGTGGCGATGTGCACAATATGGTGGTGCCTACCCGTGCAAACCCCGTTTCCTGCACCCCGTCCTCCCACAAAAAAAGGGGCAAAGGTTGGACAATGCAGAACACAAAAAAATGAGAACAAGGATACGCATGATATCTACTGGGTATAATCGCACTCAGTATGAACTGAGGACCTTCAGCGGAACTTGCTAGCTCATCGATGCCCAAGGCTCAAAGGTCAAATCTGTTAAGCTGACGTGATAACCAACTTCATCATGCGACCAGGTTGTTTGTGAAGATTTAACCTCTGAATTGACGCCATGCTCGCCATGGTCAAGGTTCAAGCTGGAACTCAACTACCCCACCCGCATGACCGGCTAGGTGGAATAGGGGCAAATGATATTTACGGGAGCTGTCGTCGGGTATTAATCTCCCAGGCTTAGCATGGAGTTTCTATTTTGGCATCCAGTCTTCCGGGTCGTCATCCGATGATCACACAACAGGTCACATGACAAATTTCCATTTCAGTATTGGTTTCCTCGCGGATGAGGGCTCTCAACAATCGAAGTGCCGGAGCTGCGTGATTTCAGGACCTGAGCTGGCAGTTTACCGCCGCTGCAAGTTCTTTGTTTGTCAGCACACAAAACAGCGGTCAAAACTTGCTATCAAGCAAGTAATCGAACGAAGTAAGGCCGACCGATTCAAGCACTGATACTTACATGTCGAATCTTCCTGCCGTCGAGTTGTGAGGAAAGTAGTAATAGGGGCAAGTAACTCCCCTGAAATACAGGCAGTCACGGCTTATAGCGAGGCCTTCTTAGCTTCCACTAGTGACCAAGACATTGTCAATTCGAGAGTCAAAAAAACTTCCACGCCCGATGACGATCATGATGTACAGGACATCTTGGATGTCGAGAAAGGGGCAAAAATATGTGCTGCGCCCATGAATCGAACATGGGTCCTCTCGGATCGCTGTATGTCGGAACCACAACGAGAAGTACTGACCACTATACTAGCGCAGCTGACTTTTGGAGATGTGCAAGGGCCGACGGAATGGCGATTATCCCAGCCCCCGAAGCTTGCCAGCCCCAACTGCAGCTGACAGGCGGGACTGCAATTGCACATTCAACTTGTAAATTTGTCATTGAAACTTGTTCTAGAAATGGCCTTACCAACCGAGCTTTCAAAAATTACGTATAATAGAAATTAGATGGATGGTTATGTCTACCCTATAAGCTGTTGTCGGCATCCCTCTCTGCGGAGCTGCGGAGTGTCGGCAACTGAAATGGGACCCGTGGTGGTTTCCTGTCCCTGCCTCTTGGGCTGGGTGCTGGGTGCTGGGTTGGGCTTTCTTTTTTCCTTGGAAGCTGCCCAAGTTCATGATCACAAACTGAAATCTGCCCAACTTTCCTCTTCTTTTGACATGCCCAGATTTTGTTCAATCGTCTACAAATTTGACCTCTAAAGGCGCTATAAGCCATCTCTTGTGTTGCCGGACTGTTTAGCAGCCTTCAAGCATCCCAACTCAAACACTACACAATATGACAGCTCTCAGTCATACCAAATAGCATTCATGCCGAACCCAGGCTCCGGGATTTGCACGCGCGCGACACGGTGCAGGAACTCGTCCTTCCAGCGATACATCTCGACCCATCCCTCCTGATCATCGGTGATGGCAACCCACTCGTCACTCCAGTCACACGGCGCGACAGCATTGCTGTGGCCGCCGCTCGTCGGCGTCGGGTTGAGACACAGCTGCGCCTCGATGCTACCGCAGCCACGCAGCCGGAACGCAGCCACATAGCCTGTCAAGTCGAAGCTGTTTGCGCGTGCAGACGCAAACAAGTACTTGCCGCTCATGGTGAGCGCACACACGTCAGACCGGTAGAGCCCCTTGCCCGTCGCCACGTCCCGGTCCGGGATTCCCGGCGGAATCAGCGGGAAGCTGTGGTGTGTGTAGACGGGCAGTTGAGTCGCCGGGTCGATGACATATTCGCAGATGCGATTGCCCGCCTCCATCAGGGCGTATAGGTAGTTGCCAGTCGGATGCATGGCCACCCACCGGGGATGGTCGCCGGCCGCCGGGGCGTCCACGCTGCCGACCAGCTCAACCGAGCCCGAGCCCGAGACCACCTTGCGGTGCACCCATAGCTTGTTGGCTGTCAGGTCTGCCGAGTAGAGGTACGTCTCGGTCGGGTCGAAGACCATGCCGTGGATGCCCGTGTTCAGCTGGTACGGATAGTTCTGGATGTTCTTGTCGAGCCCGCCGGAGCCCGTCACGGAAAAGACGTTGCCGTAGCCGGCATACTTGTAAAAGGGGTTGGCATAAACGGCATACGGCGACTGCTTCGCCGGTAGCAGGAAGATGGCGCGGGTATTTGTCTCGGCACTGTTTGCCTGGGCTGCGAGTGGCAGGTGTGGTCAGCGAAATGTCTGGGACGGCGGTTTGAGCGGGCATGCGATAACATACGGTCCCCGCCAATGGGGTGGGATGCTTCATGGACAATCTCAGTAGGGCTCTTGACGGCGAAGCTGGACCACTTCTTCATGGCCGAGCCGTAGAGGTTCTTTTTTGTGTGCTGTCTTCACTGTGAGCAGCGGGTCGTCACGCATCAGTGGCCATGTTGGTCAATTGGTGCCATACGTCGAAGGCCATCCATGATATCGGCTCATTCTCCGGGATCGGGGTCCTCTTGACGAGCTTCAGTGTCAGGTTCTCGTCGTCAAACTGAACAGTAAAGATGGCGCCTGGCGGGGTCCAGGTCCCGATCATCAAGTGGTGGAGGGGCATGTTGGAATGACGTCGGTGGGCGATGCAAGGGACCGGGGAATTGAACGCAAAGAAAGCGCAGCGAGAAGGACGGCGACGAGCAAGATGTGATACGACCAAAATCATACGACGTCCTGATACTAATTGTTGCTGGTCTGGAGGGTTTGGACGGCAACGCGACAGGCATAATATTCTCTGCTCGCGGCCTGCCGCGGTTTCGCTGGCAGTGAGCTACGCTGGGGACATCGCATCGTATCGCGCCTCAATGGTTGCCCCTCCGATCCCCCAACTTTTTTCGGTATTTGCGGTGTCGGAAGCGGTAGCGGTAGATGGAGGGGTTGCTCCAGCGTTGCAGCCGGGACTTCTGGTGCCTGGGTGGCACCCATTGCAGCGACATTGCAGCGTTTTTCACAAAACCTTGTTCCCACACCCTGCGGCCTAGGTTGTCTGTCGGCTCTGCACTGCGTCTCAACCGGGTAAAGGCTCACCCCGTCGAAAGGATCCCCAGGGTTTCCCTAAGGAACCCCCAGGGATGCCACCCTAGCCGCGGCCTAGAAGGCTCCTAGCAGGCTCCTAGCAGGCTCTGGGCATGCTGGGAGCGTAGAGGCTCCATCATGGCGTCACGGCGACAATGGGGAGTCCCCAGAGAAAACCGGGGGATCGAGAGGAATCAATGGATAGAGTCCACTCCATCGTCCCACGATTCAGGAGCCTCAATCGCCAAGGCGACCAAAGGTTGACAACGATGGGCGGCCAGGCCGCTGCTGAGCCCGCGTCATGCAGCCTGGAACATCGGCTTCGGTACGGGTATAGCTTGCAAGCCCGCTGGCGCTCTCTGGCGCCTTTTGCATCGCGAGGCAGGGCTAAATTTCTCCCGCGTTGCCTCCTCCTTTGCCCCCACTCCCGCGGTAGCAGAGTTGGGGATGGACAAGCTGCCGCGACGTCTGTCCGATTGATCACGGCGGGGAAAATGACACCACCCGGTGGTGGGTGTCCTATCAAGTCTTTTCAATTCGCAATCTGTGTTGATGCGTCAAGGTAAGGGCAGCCTCTTCTATTTAACCCTCGGGAGCCTCTCGTGTGGTTTTATACTCCTGTCCCTTCTCCAGCCTCTCCTATCACATCTCACTGCCTCTTGCAACCAAGCCTTTCTGTCTGCCTTGCCCTGTTCAAGTCTCCGTTGCATCTACACCTTTCTCAACAACACCATCGATATCACGATGGCTACTAACGGTACTAACAGCACCAATGGCACCAATGGCACCAATGGTGCCCAGAAGTCGGCCCACCGCTTCGACCCCGACTTCACCCAGGCCGTCATCGACAACATGGGCCCCAAGACCACCCCCCGTAACCGCCAAGTCCTCGGTGCCCTCATCCGCCACATTCACGACTTCTCCCGCGAGGTCGAGCTCACCATTGACGAGTGGATGACTGGTGTTCACTTTATCAACGCTGTTGGCCAGATCTATGGCGATAGCAACAAGACCCGTAACGAAGCCCACCGTATTTCTGACGTCCTCGGCCTCGAGTCGTAAGTTTGCTTTGCGGATACCCCCAACCGCTTATTTCCCGGGGAAGTCAGGGGCAGCTTTGCTAACACCATCATACAGTCTCGTTGACGAGATCGCCCACAAGATCGTCTCGGAGGGTGAGCTGGACCCCACATCATCCTCCATCCTAGGTCCCTTCTGGTCGCCCAATGCCCCCTTCCGGAACATTGGAGGCTCCATCATCCAGGACGGCGTGCCGCCCAACGGCCGCGTCACCAAGATGTGGGGTGTGATCACCGACATGACGACTGGCAAGCCTATCCCCAACGCCGTCTTTGACATCTGGCAGGCGTCGGCCAACGGCAAGTACGACTTCCAGGACCCCGACAACCAGTCGCCCAACAACCTCCGCGGCAAGTTCCGTGCCGACAACGAGGGCAGGTACTGGTTCTACTGCCTGCACCCGACAGCCTACAGCCTTCCTCAGGACGGACCTTCGTGGGACCTCCTTACCCTCATGGACCGTCACCCGATGCGCCCCGCCCACATCCACATCATGGTCACGCACCCCGACTTCCAGGGCTGCACTACCCAGCTGTACCCCAACGACGACCCGTGGCTCACCACCGATACCGTCTTCGCTGTGAAGCCCGATCTGGTTGTCGACTTCAAGCCCCTCAAGGGTGACGCGACGGCCACGCTCGAGCTCGAGTACAACGTTTTCCTTGCACCCAAGGGGTACAAGGGTAAGTTGTAAGTGGTGACGAGTGGTGATAAGGGGAAGTCATGACGCCAATGATGCAAGAGATGATTTGAAAGAGAATTGTACATATACCCGCTTCCCGAACATACTCGAAGACGGATGGGAGGTTCATTGTGTTTATGGAGCGCATATTTGGTCGGCCGTTTTGTTATATCAGGCAGGCAAACAGATGGGCAGGCGGCAAGCTAGGTAATTAGCTTTTTGTGTTCAGTGAAAATAGAAATAATCAACATAAACAATACTTGGTTCCATGTTTGTGAAGTGTTTGTTGAGTTCATGTCATCTGACATTATGGGGGGATACACGACACGATAAAGAGGTTTGCCTTGACGTCCTGCCCTCGGTGAAGTTCCCGGAGCCGAACACAATGCACGGCTAAAACATGGAAATTTAGCCGCATGCCCGCCTAGGTAGATGGGGCAGTAAGAGTAAGGGGACCAATACCGCCATAAGCAAGGCGCCCATGACGAGGCTTTGTTTGTCTAACGGTGCTGCCTATGTGGTCCCCTAATATCATGTTGTGGAAAGCTGAGCTACGGTACACCAATATGGAAGAAGTATTCTCCATGTGGAAGATTTTGCCGGCTGTCAGTTCCCCGCTTGGAGTCCAGCCGGGGGTTTGGTAAAACCAAGGCCTGGTTTGATCTGCTGTGATTGTGGCTGGCTCGGCTGGTAGCTGGGCTTGTCGTGGGGGTTCGGTACTGGGCTTCATGTTGAGTGTGGTCAAGTGTGATGGGGTGTCCCTGTGGGTGTTTGAAGATGAAGTCGTATGTTGGCGTGCTGGCCAAATGCTGTCAACCCATGGAGGTAAGGGCAGCCGTGGTGTGACTGTGTCAAGCGATGGAGAGATGAACTCCTCAAGTCAACTGGCGTATATATCATGTGATGTCAATACACAGTCGTGGGAAATGGTGCCCGATATGATTGATGAGAGGCGTAGGGAGATATGTCCCAGGACTACTTCCGCAGACCACTAGATTTGGAAGCTGGCGGGCT